ACGTGACCCACGCGGCGGTGTAGACGGGCCCCGCGGTCTGGGTCGCGCGCATGGCGCGCCCGGCGCTGCTCCCGCGCCCTCCCGGCCGACGTGCGCGCCCGGCGCTCCGGTGCTGCGTGGCACCCGGCTCGGGGAGCCCCTCTCCGGCCGGCCTTCACGGGCGTCCCGGGGCGCCCGGCAGACTGCCCCTTTTCTCCTCCTCGGGCTTTGGGTCCAGCCGCTCCTTCTCTTCGCGCGATCGGAGCATCCTGACCCGGCCTCACCCACGGCCGGGCCAGAGTGATGCGATTCTCCGAGGACGGCGCCTCTTAGCTCCCTTCCGCCGCCCGTGGCGGGGGCGGTCCGGCCCTCGTGGGCCTCTCCCCGGGCCGGCCCGGCGGGAGCGGGGGCGTTGGGTAGGGAGCACGGTGCCAGCCTGCCCTGCGCCTGGCCACCCTCGACGCCGCGTGGCAGTGCTGGCTCTAGGCGGCAGGCTCGAGGTGCCGTTCTCCGGGCAGCCCCTGGGGAGGTGGCCCATCTGGACTTGCTTGGGTTAGGGAAGAGGCCCGGAGGCGGGTTGGGAAGGGTCTTGGCCTCTCTTGTTTCCCACCGGAGCGCCCTCACTTTAGACCCCGGCTTTCTTCTCTCTCCCTCAGTCAGCCTCCGCCCACATTTAGTTTTGGTCGCTCTCCAAGTGGCTGTCTGCTTGTTAGCCCTGTTGGTCTTTCTCCCTTCGTCTCTCTCTCTGCCCCCTCTCTCCTCAGTCCTTTCTCTGCTGCCTCCTCTCCCTCCCTCGTTCTTCGTCTCCGAAGTCTTCCTCTTTTTGCCTGTCTCTGACTCTTGATTTCTGCCTCTTTCTTCCTTTTTCAATCCATGCATGACTGTTTCTAGTTACTCGGTAGTCCGTCCGCCTTCCCTTAGTCTCTTTTACTCTGTGGGTCTTTGTTTCTGCCCGGCTCTGTCATTCTCCTACGGCTGACTCTCACCCCACCCCACCCCACCAAGTCTTTCCACTCTTGGACTGGGCAACACATTTTTTTCTAGTTCCCTCTCCATGGCCCCTCAGCCCTCCATCTTTCCCTCCCCAGGTTTGGTATGTGTGGAAGGAGGCTGGTGGGCTTTCCGGGGCTTGGGGGCAGGGCAAGGACCCACCTTCAGGATCCCGGAAAAGGAGCTGCAAGGCCTCTGCTCCCCCCCAACATACGTGCCCCCCCCCCACCATTTGCACTGGAGCGCTTTGCACGGGGCCAGCCTTAGGGCAAGGCTCAGGAAAGTCATCTCCATAACCAATTTTAAAAGCCTCCCAGGGCAATTGAGCCCTAGGGTGCAGCAGAAGAGAAAAGATACGTGTGTCCAGCAAGGTGTGTGTGGGAGGGGCCTACAGAAAGGCAAGAACCTGGAGGGGGGCCTCTGGGCCAGGTGGCAGCCAAGAGGCCAAAGAAAACAGGGTCCAAAGAAACCCCGCTATTGTTCCCCACTCTGCCTGGCATTTCCTGCTGGGCGACTCCTCCCCAACGGCTCTGGTCAGGCGAATTGTTCTTTTCTCCATGGAGTTGCAAGGCTATGCCCCCAGCAGGGCATGGCAGTTACATTCAGGACTTTTTCCAGGCCTGAGGCTCAGACTGGAGAATGGCCAGGATCGTCTCAGAGACCTTGAGGTCAGACATCTTCCTTTCAGCTGCGCTTAACTTGCCTTCCCTAAGCACCCCCCCCCCCCCTTACATTCCTCTTCTCTGCCCAGGCACTGTCTTCCTGAATCCATGGGTCTCATAATCTCTATCTTCATAGAGTGAGCAGGACTCAGTGCCCCCTAGAGAATGAGCCATCAAAGGAAGATGCCTGAAAAATTGAGCCTACTCTTTCCCAGCTAAGGAAGGATTGGAAAGGCCAAAGACTTGTTCTTGCTGGGAATGTAGCTCAGTGGTAGAGCCCTTGCCTAGCATATGTGGGCCCTAAGTTCAATTCCCAGTGCTGGGAGTGGGGAAGCTACTTTTGGCCAGGTGAAGTAGCCTTCTATTCCAGCCTCTAGGGAACAGAGGCAGGTAGATCTCTGTGAGTTCAAGGACAGACTGGTCTACAGAGTGAGTTCTAGGTCAGCCAAAGGCGGTATGGTGAGACCATGTCTCAAGAGCAAATAAAACAACTAGTTCTTGCCACTTTATGGATTAAAATGTAGTCCAGACCTTTCTCTGCTTTCCTAGTGATTTAATTCCAAGGAACTCTGAGGAAACCAGAACTCAGAAGCCTGGAATAGACACAGCGCTTGTCACACAGATTTGGGCACAAGGAATGGTGTGATCAGAGGAGGTCCCTCCTGCCCCAGGGGGCAGCCAATTCTGTTTCCAAGGCTGTGTCTGAGGCCTTTCCACGTCTCTATCCATCAAGGTCGCTCGGTCCTTACTGGAGAAAGGGTGTGACAGAATCACTGGCAAACAGAGATATGGGAAGACAAAAGGGCCCCTCAGCCTGGAGTGTGGGTGGAGTGTGGGTGGAGTGTGGGTGGGGCTCTTGCCGTCGGAGAACTGTGAATTTCCAACATCTGCTTAAGCCCTTTCTCCTTTCCCGACTGTAAACCCTCAGTTTCTAGATCTCGAAGCAAAGGTTCCACACACCATGAAAAGAGGTTTGAGCCAGCTTGTGAAGTCCTGGTGTCTGTTGGCCTTTCCTTATCTGGCGTAACCCCACCCAGGATGCCTCGGAAGCCGCCTTATAGTCTATTATAGAAAGGGGACTCAGAGTCAATAATTCCAGCGCAATTCACATTTGCCTAAGGCTTCTTCCTTCCCAGTTGTCAACCTGCAATTTTCTAGGAATCTCACAGAAACAGCCTTTACAGTAAAACAATCCGTCCTAAAACCCCTTGCATAACCCTAGTGGTTTCTGGTTTTATTTTATCAGATTGTAATCCTATCCAGAGCCACCCTGGAATCTCATTTATTGAAGAAAAACAGTTTCTTAACAGCCCTGAGAGTCAGCACAATGTTATATATATCTAATGCTTAGCCATTTCGTTGGAGCTCGTCACTGAGAGGCACACGCCCATACACTCAGGCTGTTCTTACATTTCTTTCAAGAAAACTGTCTTTTAATGAACTCCAACTTGCTTTATTCTGGCTTCTCCAGGAGTTCTTTTCTGTGCCAAAGCCAAGGATCCAAGCTAAACTAAACACTGAGGGAACTTGGGCACTTATGGGTGACAAAGAGGCCGTGATTCTCTCCCTGTGACTGCGGTCATAGGTACTATATTTTAGAATTGGGGCTGGAGAGATGGATCCATGGTCAAAAGCACTGGCTGCTCTTCCAGAGGACCTGGGTGTGTTTCCCAGGGTCCACACGGGAGCTCACAACGGTTGTAACCAAGTTTGAGGGATGTCTTCTTCTGGCTAGCCTGGGTACCAGACACACACATGGTACAGAGACATATATGCAGTTAAAATGTTCATAACCCACAAGATAAAAGTGATAATAATAATAAGAATTTTCAGCCAGGCGGTATAGTGACACACACTTGCAATCCTAGCACTTGGGAGGCAGAGGCAGGTTGATCTCTGACTTTGAGGCTAGCCTGTCTACAGAGTGAGCTCCAGGACAGCCAAGGTTATACACAGAGAAACTCTGTCGAAGAAAAAAAAAAAAAACAAAACAAAACAAAACAAAAAACAACAAAACTGTCTTTGCCCTGTGCACTCAAGATCCTGGCCTTCCTGCTCAAAGGAAGTCCCTGGAATCTTTTGGGCTGGGAACAATGTCTTTCCACTTATGGCAAAGGAGCTAGCAGCTCTTACAGAAAGACCCTTCTCCCATCTCTCCTAATTAGGGACCTCTGGATTCCCTGGGAGAAGGAGAGGCCTGGGGTGGAAATATTAGGGGCCTGAGACTGTCTCTGGCACCTGGACGGTACTGACAACTTCTAAGTTGTGGGAGAAAGCATTTATTGACAAATGAACATTTATTGAGTGTTTACTATTCGTATTTATATAATGCCATGCACACAGCAGATCTTATGAAAGAGTTTATTCAGGGGGGGAGGAAAGCAGAAGAGAGTTAGGGTCTCAGTGGGCCATGAGGGCAGAGAGACAGAGATGGGGAGGGGCACCCCAACATAGAAAGGGGAGAGAGCTAGTGCGCAGCTGAACAGCTTCTGCCAGGTGCAGGTGCATCTGACACACACCTGGCGGGAGACACATGATGACATCATAGGTTACTAGGCAACCCAGAAGCAGAATGCCTAGACACTAACATTTTCCCTCTGCAGAACACTGATTTATTGACAAACGAGCGTTTGTTGGGTGTTGAGTACAAGCAGAACACTGTGTTAGATAAGATCAAGAGGGAAAGTAGGTAAGAGAAAGCCTTGCCCCTGGAGAGCTTACACTCTCTGCCAGAGAGACATGGTAGACACACAGGCTTGCAGCTTAGAGACACAAACACCGAAGCAACTCTCGGGGTGTGAAGTCGTTCTGAGAAGTGGGGAGGGATGCTACAGGGACAGTGGTGAGCCACGTCCTCCTGCCAGCCCCTTAGCCACGCGCCCCCAGCCTGGAGACCTGGGAGCCTGTCCACCTGCCTCCATGCTGCCCTGTGTTCTTCTGGTTTGGGTGTGCCTGACCTCCACCTTCTTGGCTGGGTGCTCTTCAAGAGCAGGGACCACGAGTTCTTGTGTCACTTCCTCCTGACCCAGTCAGCACTCTCTTCCTGGCTGTCTGTCCACTACACTATAGGGGTCTGGACTGGGCTGGACCAGCCCTGCTGGGTGTTCTAGCGTCTGCCAGGGGCTCTCAGGAGGAGCCCAGGCTTGGAAAGCCCAGGCTTTGCCTCCGTGGAAAGATGGCATTTTGCATAAGATGTCCTGGGTTCAAGTGTTGGCTCTACTGTGTTAGCTGTGTGTCTTTGGACCAGCCTCAGGGTCTCTGTTTCAGAATCGAATGGGGAAAGAAGCATTTGCTCTGCCTATTTTACAAGGTTCGGAAGCTAAGGGAGATTGTCTGGAAACGGTGAGGCCTTACTCGCCGGGGCTAGTAACCTTCCTGAACAGGCCAGCACCGTGGCTGGGGCACAGAGAAGCATAACCACTTTTACCCACCTGCCCTCCCATTACTTAGAATCTTGCTTTGACCTCTGTCCTCACTCTCAGGGAGGGTGTGTGACTCAGAAAGTGCTTCAGACACATTTTCGACCTTCAAGAGGGGCGTGTTGGGGACTAAAGTGCCTTGACACTTTGAACTTTCAGGGCGATGGCTGAGAGGCAGCCCCAGAGGGCACTGGTGCCGCCCTTCCGGCAGCTGTGAGGTCAAGCCACTGCCCCCAGCTGTTGGAGCCCGCGGAGGTCCTCTCCGTGGCTGCCATGTCCAATGTCCCTCTTCTTGCCTCCAAGGAGACAGAGAGGTCGGTGACAGAGGTTTCCCTACGCGTGTTCACACGAATGGGGTGTTGGAGCACAGGGCTCATGATGGGGACAAATGGAGTCAGAAGCCTTGAGAGTGGGGGTGACAGCATGGAAGAGGGGCTGCAGAGAGAGGAAGGAAGCAGAAGATTGCCCGGGTGCAGGCAGTAAGGAAGGGTTCAGAGGCCGGACTAGGATGGGGCCAGCAGCAAACCCATGTCCTTCTGTCTGAACCTTGGGGCCCCAGGACTCTCCTCTGCTTTAACCATCAATTCCCAGAAGCAGAGGAGGTTAGAGGGCCGGCCTCTTCCGCCTTGAAAATGATCCTGACAGTGTGTGACATGCGACAATGGCATGAAGAATCACGTGAAATCACGGTGCGCACTCCCGTGCGTCGGCTCACTTGATCCCAGCTTAATCTCACTTGAGAAACGTTGCCTTGGCCTAGACACTTAAAAGCCTGGCCGCCAGGCTCGGCTCTGCCTCTGCCCAGTCAAGTCAATTCCTTTCTCTGCGGGCTGCAAGGTCCACACAGCGTCAGGCAGTGGGCGCTGGAAGAGGGTGGAGCACAGGGCGGGGAGGGAGGCGAGAGGGAGCAGAGATTCCTGGGGAGGAAGGACGACAGGTGACGGCGGGGGCGTGGCCTGGTGCCTGTGGTTGCACGCCCGAGCGCCTGTCCCGCCAGCCCTAGGCCTGTGCCGTGTGTGTGTGTGTGTGTGTGTGTGTGTGTGTGTGTGTGTGTGTGTGTGGTGTTTCCAGGGCTCACTTGCGAAACCAAGTGTCTCCTTTCACGCAGTGTCTAGTTGCAAAACCCCCCTCCCCGGGGACAAAAGCTGGGGCCCCACAGAGGGCTTTTGTTTTCTTCTTCGCCCAGGAGGAAGACTAATCTTTAAACGTATGTGGGCTCCGGGGGATGGGAGTCGAGCACGCACGCACGCACTGCCTCCCCGCTCCCCGGGAAGAGCCCTCCCTCGGGGCGGAAAGCCAGCCCTTGGATACCCAGGCAGGCCTCCCTTGCCATGTCTAGGGGACTTGTTTTCTAGCTGACACGTTCCTTCCAGCCGTGAGTCCCGGCAGGTCCTTGGGCCGAGGGCTGTAGAGTCTTCCCAGAGGGTGGAAGAGGAGGTTGGACGCCAGCCCCTCCCCCTTTCCTGGGGCCGGCTGCGACGGAGGACTCAGCCAGAGCAGAGGGGGCGGGTTTATTGCAGGTGCAGGAGGAGGAGGAGGAGGAGGCCGAAGCGGGAAGAAGTCCCCGGCCTGGTACCACCTCGGGCATTGGGGTCACACTCAGGCACGCGCAGGCCCCGCACGTGGGGAGAGGCGCACGCGGCGGTGGACGAGCACTTTCACACCCTAACAAAACCAGACGCACCAACCGCAGAGCCCCAGGTGCTCTCTACGCACTGCCCTCCCCCCACGCCCCGGCCCCAGGCGCGGGCTCTCCGGAGCTCTCCGGCTCCCGCCCGCCCGCCTTCCCTCCCCACCGCCCCGGGCCGCGCCTCCCCGGTGCCCTGCAGGAGGCGAGCCCGGGGGTGGTCGGGACCGAGGCTTTGGGGCGGGGTGCTGCTGCCGGGCTCCGGGGCTCGCCCCTGGCGGAGGCTCGGCGCGCCCGCGGGCGCCCGGGGCTCGGCGGCGGGGAGGGCGCCGGCGCGCTGCGGCTCAGGCCTTGCTCCCGCGCGGCAGGCTCTGCGGGGAGTGCAGCTCCACCGACTGCCGCCGCCGCACCTCGCGCTCCTCCCAGTCGGTGTCCGGCTCCAGGCCCTTGAGCACCGCCAGGCGCTCCTGCAGGCTCTTGGCCGAGGGGAACAGCAGGTAGTTGTAGAGGAGGGAGGCGATGATGGCGCCCACCAGGGGTCCGATCCAGAAGACCTGGGGGGAGGGGAGAGGAGAAGCTCCAGCACCCGCTCGGCCCGCCCGCGCCACCGCCACCGCCACCGCCGGGACTCGCCGCAGGAGAGACTGACGTAAAGGTCACGAGCTGCCCGGGGCGACCGCAGTGTGCGGCGAGGGGCACCTTCTCAAGCCCGCTGCCGGCCCCGCGTCCTGACTCCGCCGCTAGTGCGAACTCAGAGTCAGTCTCTCCGAGCCCGTTCCCTTTCCCTACAAGAATGCTCTCTTGTGGAGCTGAGGCCGCTGAATGGGCTAAGGTGCCCAGCACAGAGCAAGCTCTGCTGGCTGAGCAGGAGTCGGTCACTGGGCCCCCGGTGCCAGGCGCTGTGTGATGGGGAGACGGGCTTACTTCATTTCCCCGAGGAAGCCGACAAAACCCTCACTGGCGGTTTCATTTACAGCAAGGGACGAGGGAAGACAGACTCTGGCGCAGCTCTGGGGGCTGCGACAAGGTTTCCCAGTACCTCAGGGCAAGTGCAGCGGGATTGGATCCCCTCCCCGCCACACACACACACACACACACACACACACACACACACACACACACACACGTGTGTTATAGCCCCTAATGTCTCTCTGGAATGATTTCTAGGAACGGGGGAGGCAGGGGTTTGGCCATTACCCAGTGATCATCGAACTTGCCGGTGACGACTGCTGGGGCCAGGGAGCGGGCTGGATTCATGGAGCAGCCGGTGAAGTAGATCTGTGGGGGAGGGGGGTAGAGGAGAAGAGGGGTGAGAGCAGAGCAGAGCAGGTCGCCCTCATCCTCCTTCCCAGTGCTGGGGACGCTTGGCCGGAGCCTAAAGTGAGCCCAGGAAAGGTGAGACTAGCTCTGCACCGTTCACCCCAGCAAGACCTCTGTGAGTTCAAGGCCAGCCTGGTCTTCGTAGTGAGTTTCAGGAGACCTGCCCTTTAGCACCAGAGCTCCTTGGGATTCTGAGAGGGCCCTTGTGGAGAGGTGTGTGTGTGTCTCTACAGGGCTCCGAGTGGCTGTTTCCTCAGGGGACACGTGTGTCTTGGTTCTTGTAGGGCAGCTGGAACCTGTGGCCGTGACTTACCCCCAGGAGGTGGCCCAGGGTGACAGAGAAGCCGATGGAGAGGGCGGGGCTGCCCAGGTTGTCGCTGCGGCGGTCGTCGGTGGAGGCGAAGATGCAGAGAACCAGCTGCAGGGTCAGGAAGAGCTCCACAGTCACGGCCTGGCCCGCCGTCGCGTTGTTGTGGAGCTGGGGAGAGGGGAGGGGATCAGTGCGGGGAAGCTGCCCAGTGCCTCGGCTCACCTGCTCCTGGCTCCACGGGGAGCCTCTAGGCCCGAGACCCACAACCCTGCCTCCTCCACCTTAACTGTAATCACTGCTCCCTCTGGATCCTGGCCCCCAGGCAGCGGTGAGCCTGGACAGCCTGGGGTTGGGATGTGGATCCCAGAACCTAATAGACGAGGGGGCTGAGGTTTCTAAGAGGAAAGAAAGGCTGTGCTTGGGGAAGAGGTTCCCATCGCAGCGAGAAGCTTTGGACTTGGCACCAGAAAGGCCTTTATCTCTACATCACACTGCTGTAACAGTATGGCGAGGATTCAGCCTTCCTGTGCTCACATGGCCGAGGAACTTATTGGGTCCCCTCGCCTCTGCCCCCCCCCCCCATTGCATTCAGGCCTTGCTTCTCTCCCCAGGGCCGCTCCCTCGCCTCCGTGGAGGCTGGGGGCAGCGGTGGGTGGCACGGGCGGGGGCAGGCTTTGGAACGCTGAAGGGGAAGCCTCGTACCGTACCCACGTAGGGTGCCCATGGTCCCTGCAGCCCCTGTCCCAGGTAAGGAGAGAACTTGGGGCTGAGCTCAGAGGCCATTCATAACCCGGCCACACCCAGCGCTGGGTTTCTCTCTGGGTTTTGTCATCCTGCACCCCACGCCCTGCCCTTTGGGGCCGAGCACTGCACAGGGTGGCCCGATGACAGCCTTTCAACTCCCACACTCCTTCTCTACGTCCCGAGCTCCTAGCCTGGTGCTTCCAGGTCTTTCTAGGGTCTAGCCTCAACCTCTGCTATGCTGCAGCTCCTAGAGACAGGAGCGGGGACTCAGCTCTTCCAGGTTGGTGGCCACGTTGGTGCACTGGAAGGAGACTATTTGGTCTCAGTGTCCCAGTCTGTACAATGTGGGTGACATAAACCAGCTCTGGAACTGAGGGTGATGAGGGGAGACTCTACCCCACCCTTGCTGGCAATGGCTGTTCAGAGGGGTCTGTGTCACACAGCCGGGCACAGTCTGTTGCTTCCTTGCTGCGGATCCGCTGAGCACTGGGTTAAAACCCTAAGGTGGGGAGACTGCAGAACCAAACGCACAGCACTGTACCAAGGGTAAGACAGCGTGTGGCTGGGCCCAGGGCAGATCGGGGGCACCAATGACAGCTTCCTGGGGTCCACGCTGACTCGTGGCAGCGTCCTCAGGATCTCAGGCTCGGTGGTCGGCACTCATGTCTCACTTGCCTCAGGGCAAATGAGCCCTAGGTTGCCTCACTCCAGGCTGGCTGGGCTCTCCCTACCGCTCAAGATGGGTCAACGCAGAGGAGCAGCCTTTGACCCCGAGTGCCGGAGGGCTGGGATACGGTAGAGGATGAGGCTGGCTGCTCCCAGGGCGTTAGAAGCCTGAGGTAAGCTCTCAGCAAGTTCTTTGACTCTAGCTGGATGTCTCCTTGTTGTAAAACAAACTCATGTAATAATGGAAATAAGAGGCTGGAGAGATGGCTCAGCAGTTAAGGGCACTGGCTGCTCTTCCAGAGGACCCAGGTTCAAATCCTAGCACCCACATGGCAGCTCAAGACTGTCTGTAACTCTAAGATCTGACACCCTCACACAGACCTATGTGTGGGCAAAACACCAATGCACGTAAAATAAAGGTAAATAGATTGATTTTAAAAACAATGGAAATAGACACACTTCATTCCTCACTTCGGCCCCTCTAACCTTTTTGGCCCTGGGTGCCCAGCTTCACCTTATTTTCCATTTTGAAGGGTGCTCCCTAACTGGGGGACCTCTGTCCCTCTCGTGAGGAAAGTCACCTCTACAGAGGACTGTGTGCAGCGCCCAGGATTGAGTGGGTGGAGAAGTGGAGGAGGAGGCCTGAGAGGGGCTAGCTCTCCTGGTTTGGGGGAGGGGTGCAGAGTAGTTGTGCTGAAGGGATTCCTAGATCCCTAGGCATGCACAGACTGGAGAAGAGAGGACCAGGCTTCACCTTCAGCTCTCAAAGTGCCTGGGGCGCTGTAGTCCCCTGTAGAGCCAGCTCAGGCCCACAAGCTCCAGGAGCCTCTCCTGCAGGCCTCTGCGGCTGGCTCTGACATTAACAAACTCTAGACCATCTCAGCCACCGCTGCCCCCAGCCCCACATCTGTTTCTTAGTTTCTGAGGCAAAGCCCAGATCCTGCCTGGGAAGAAATCATGGGTTTTGTGGTGGAATTTTGGGGGGCTTAGTGGCACTTCCCCCCACCCCGGGGCTGCACCTACTTTACAGAGCTGCCAGTATCTGCCTCTCGAAGGGCACCATCCAGTCCTCGCCCGGTCAGTGCTGCCGGGCTGTTTCACCCCTTGCTCTCTCCATCCTCCCGAGGCCCCAGTGGCCTGTCTGTGCTAGGGCGCTGTGTCGGCTGCATTCTAGCCTATGGGTGGATGTAGGTGGCCACTGCTCCTGGTGACTCAGCGGCCCTCTCCTCAGCCCTCCTAGGGTAGCCGTGCTCCTGGCCTCAGGCTCTCCTTCCCCCACTCCGGGCCTGTCCCGCCTGTTTTATCCTTCACAAGAGCTTTCAGCATCTGGCCCTCCTAGAAAGGACAAAGCTCAGGCTACTCACAGCATTGACAGCCAGGTCCCCTCGGATTTCTACTGGAGTAATCTCATGCAGTATGGCGGCCCCGGCCACAGCCCCCAGCAGCTGGGCAGCCACATAGAAGGCAGCTCGAAGGAAGGAGACGTGGCAGCCCACCAGGCAGGCCACGGTCACGGCAGGGTTGATGTGGGCCCCGCTGACATGGCCCAGGGTCTGGACCAGCGTGCCAATGCCCAGGCCGAAGGCCACGGCAATCTGGAGCACGGAGGGTGGGGAGCTGGCCCACTGGAGGGCCGAACCAAGGCCGAAGAAGACGAAGAGAAGAGTGGCCAGGAACTCAGCCAGCACGGCTCTGGAGAAGGCGATGGATCGGAGCTCCCACATGCTGCCCGCCAGGGGTCTGGGCCACAGCGGCGCCTCCTCCCTCGTCACTCTCTCTCTTCTCTCTTTCTCTGGGCCTCTGGGGAGGCTGGGCCTCTGGCACTTATAGGGCCTTTCGCTCCTAGACTTGGGCACGTGGGGTAGAGGGCGTTCCTGTGGAGACCGAGCACTCGGACGGCGGCCTTGCCCTCACCCTGCCCCTGCCCACCTAAGGCCTATCATCCCATCTTAGCTTCACAGCTGACTAATGTTCTCCTCATTAATGAGCTCAGATAAGGATTGACGTCCCCACTTTTCCCTGTTTGTTCCCTCAGTTACCCCGGGGAGATGCCCTAGGGCTTCCCAGCCCCCACAGTGACCACCAGCATCAGTTACCGCAGAGGAGACCTTTGCTTGGACTGAAAGACTGGTCAAGGAAGGGGCGATGCCTCAGCCAAAGCCGGGAGGAAGTGTGGGTGCTACCTCTCCCTCTTGGCTGGCTGGATGGTCTTCCTTCTGGATGGAAAACAACTGGTTGGCCTGCGACAAATTTCCAAAGCAAAAGGTCTTGGGCTGGCTTTCTTGCAGTTAATCACCCGTAAGCCATTATGGCTCACCTTCTCCCAGGAACCCCAGCTGGAGAGAAACTCCCATCGCCTGGAGCCGAGCGTGGCTTCAGGGGCCCTGGGACCCTGGCCCTGCGTGGTAGAGTTACCGGGGTCAACTGAGGAACTCCAGGGCTTCCATTCAGCAGCGCTCACTGCTGTCTTTGAGATGTCTGGTCTGTCTCTGTGAACGAGGTAATGAAACCATCTCACAGGTATAGATTCGCAGTAAGGCGGCGCCCGGCTCTCAGGAAGAGCTCGGGTCCTGTCGGCCATTGCTCAGTGCTGTTTGCATTTGGAGGCAAACAGGTGCCCAAATTCAGAGTCTCTGAAGCTGTAACCGGCTCTAGATGCCACCCTGGAGCTCAGAGCCACCCTCACCGCCGGAGGAAGACATGTCTGTGGGCATCCAAAGCCAGGCGGACAGACAAGGCATCCGATGATGCCTCTGCTCCTCCTAGCCTCAGGGACAGGCGTTTGGGAGGGACTGACCAGCGCAGAGTGGAGACACTGACACTACGGTGAAAGGGGGATACTGAGGCCAAGGGCAGGCCAGTTATTTTCCAACCTGTCCAAGAAGGTTGGTGGCTGAGCTGGGACTAGAACCTAGTGTGGAGCACTTTCCGTGATGCCTGGGGTCCTTGCCTGGACAAGAATGGACCTGGACAAGAATGGCAGGGATGTTTCTCCCACACATTTGTTTTCAGAATGTAGCAAGATGCACAAAAAACAAACATCCGAATACATCACACACACACACACACACACACACACACACACACACACACACAACTTGTAACTCCTGCGGTTAGGGAGAAAGGTGAGAATGAGGAGGAAGAAACCACAAGTGACCCTAGCAGAGGAGAGCTCCAGAGGCGCAGGGAGCCTCGCAAGGCTTGGGTCTCAGGTAGAGCTTTTCCTGCAGGGTATCTGCCCCCTCCCCCCATGCTCCCTGCTCAGGGTCCTCCCTGCAACTCAGGCTCTCCAGAGAGCGTCAGAGGTGAGGATGGGAGAGCCCTGTCTTGAGAAGAGCAGCTGTGACTCAGTTTCCTCCTTTAACCGTAGCATACCCAGACCACACCAAAAGCACGGAGGACCCTACCCAGCTGGGGAATGCATCTTGCTGGCATCTGGGAGATACGTAGTATCTTGAGTGCTCCTTTTGCCTCTGTATGCTCAGACCCTGCTGTGTCTGGGAGCCCGGAGAACCCTTACATGAGCTGAACTGTGACAGTGGTTCCAAACCCACCCTCAGCCACTGAGTTCCTGTGTGACCTGGGATGAGCCACACACCCTTTCTGATCTACCCTGCCTGTGGTCATGAGAGCAGCCTTCACTGGTTCTGACCCTAGACAGCACTGCCTCTGGCCAGCCTGGTGCCAGGATAGAACCAGAATAAGCGTCACCATGTCTGCGCAGCCCAGTTTGTGTGGCTTTGTCACTCATCCACATTTCCATGGGGCTAGGGGTGGGGTTCAGAGGAAGAGCACCGGCCTAGCACGTGAAGCCCCGGGTGCCATTCCCATCACCGAGAATAACCAACAAAAACCGAGGCCGGGATCCAACACACCACAGCAGCCGTGGGCCTCAGCTCACAGACAGGGCACGGAGTGGCAGGGACTGTGCTTCTAGAAGCTGTCAGGAGATTCTGGTCTGGCCCCAAGCCAGGGAGGAGGGAAAAACCAGCCATAACTGCACGGCTCATTCCCTGCCTTTGCCCTTGGCCTTCCCTCATGCCAGCGAGGAAGACGCATTCCACCCGAGGCCTCCTGCTGCGCCTTCGGGTTCACCGCCTTCGGGAGAGCCACAGCTTGGTTTTGCTTTTCTGTTTTGTTCGTTTTTAATAATTTATTTAATTTTATTTTATGTGCGTTGCTGTGAGGGTGTTGGATCCCCTGGAACTGGAGTCACAGACAGTTGTGAGCTGCCACGTGGGTGCTGGGATTTGAACCCGGGGAATCTGGAAGAGCAGTGCCCTTAACCCCTGAGCCACCTCTCCAGGCCCTTTGCTTTTTGTTTGTTTGTTGGTGGTTTTTGTTTTTCCTTCTCCCTCCAGCTTCCCAAGCTTCGGGGCCACAGAGCTGAATGAGGGGATGATGACAAATTTGGCAACAGTAAAATGAGGTGGGCCCAGTGGACAGCCCTCTGAAGATTCCCTGGTTGGAGGGACAGCCCCAGGACATGGTGGACCCCAGCTACCCAGGACTGTCGAAGAGCTCAGTGCTGTCAGAAAGAGACAGACAGTCTGGTCCTAATACACATTCGCCAGGCAGCAGAGCTCTGAGTTGCAGCCAGGAGATGAGGGGCCTCCCACGTACCCTGGCTCCAGCCTCCCTACCCCACACCCTTTTCTGAATCATAACCAACAAACACTTTAAAAAACAAAACAAGACAAAAGTTTTCTTCTGAGTGCCCAACAACCAAAAATGTAATTCAAAATCAAACGTCTAATGGATTCCGAGTGTGTTCGGCGGGCTCAGCTGTGTGTGCTGTGCTGGGAACTGCAGTGTTTTCACTGTCTGACACTGTTGTGCTGGGAACTGCAGTGTTTTTCACTGGACGCACTCAGCTTCCCTTGCTTATAGACATGTCATGGTTTATGAAAAACAAAGATCTTAATATTTTCCCATCATCACTTCTCCGCCTGTACCATGTTCGAATACCTGTAGATTACATCATGTTAGATTGTTTATTTTTTTAAATTTCTATTTGGGGTCTAAGGAGGTGGCTCAGAAGGTAAAGCGCTTGTCATACAAGTTGGAATCCCTGGTACTCTCTCAGCAGCCGGGAGAGTGCGGCAGCCTGCCTGTAATCCCAGTCCTGGGAGACTGAGAAAGGGTCCTCAGGGCAAACTGATCAGCTTGCCAAATTGGTGAGCTCTCGCTTCAGTGACGACGTGGAGAGAAATCAAGAAAGTATCCAATGAGAGTCTCAGGGTTCTACACAGAGATGCGCGCGCACACACACACTCACACACAAACCACATACCATGTACACGCGTCATAAAAAAGAAAGAAAGTGCTGCTCAGCCGAACGTGGTGGCTCACACCTGTAACCCAGCACTTGGAAGGCTGAGGTAGGAGAATCAGGAGCTCAGACCAGCCTGGGCCAAAGAGCAAGTCCAGAGCTAATCTGGGCTACGTGAGGCTCTGTTTAGAAAAACTGCACATGCACAAATAAATACATTTTTATTATTAAAAAATAATAAAAGTTGCCAAGTCCCATAAAAAAAAAACCACTCAGTGGATTTAGGCTTTTGGTGAGGATAGAATTTCCAACAGTTTCTGGACTGACTCTAAGCTACTTGTTTTGCACTTCATGTTTGTATGAACAGTGTTTTCACATTGACCACCATCAACTCTAAATAGTAACTGAATTTAGGAAACATTGAGGTCGTACACCTTGCAGTATCAAATGTTTAGCAAAATTTTAATTCTGCATGTAAAATAAAGGAGCACGTACGTCTCAGTATGTGAATTTGCTTTTGTCTTTAATAAATGGTAAAAATACATGACTATTGAAGTAAATTTCTTAATGATGTCTTATTAAAGTGTTTGAGTTGTGTGCCTACTTTACATACCTATATACCTGGGGTTGCAGAAAAGTTTCTCAGTTGAGAAAGGGTTGTGAATGGGAGGTGCTTAAGTCTTAGTCTTGGTCCGGCTGAACTGTAGGGGGTCTAGAGAGCCAGCTACACCTGCGACTCACTGCCAGGTACATGATGGGGGGGGAGTAACCTCACAGCCCTGAAGTGCTTTGGGAAGCATTCCTGATGGTCAAATTGCATGCAATAAAACGATTAAAAAGACGGTTCTTAAATTCAGAGAACTAAAAATGCTTTCTCACCAGCCAGGACCTTTTTCACTTACTGAGAGAATCTTTTATCTTTCCTCAGCAATGGGTCCTTCAAGCCACTGTGCATAGATAGCAAAGAGGTCCCCAGATTTCCTCCCATTCCGGTTCTAACTCTCCTGGATTCAGCTGGGCTGGGAAGAGACGCTCTCTTTTCTTCCTTCTCACCGACCCCCTCGGCTTCTTGCTTTTGAAGCCTCACTTATGTCTCCAGGACTGGCTTCAGCGTCTGAGCCTCCCGCCCAAGCCCCCCCCTCCTTCACGGCAGCTTCTGTGCCACCAGGAGCAGTGCTGTGCTGTGTCTACCACTTTCTTTAAAAGAACTGAAAACATTGTTTATGTAGTGTGTCGGGAATGGCACCTGTACTACGGCATGCATTTGGACGTCAGAGTGGGATTGGTCCTCTCCTCCAGCGTGGGTCCTGGGAACCAGACCCGTCTCAGGCTGGGCAGTGAGTGCCTTTACCCGCCAAGCCATCTGGTAGACCTGAGGGACGACTGACAGCTGCTGCTCCTTTCAGAATTCCTTCCTGCCCCCGGGCTGTGAGCGCTGTTGCTGCTGTCTGC